GGAGAGGGGAGCATGCTCTGAAATCAGCTGCTGGGCTGTCAGAAGAGGGGGAGAAAAAGAGATCTCCGTCCTTCGTGTTTTTCATCTGCTGGTGGACTAACCGGAGAGAATTACAGTGCTTGCCTGGACGGGGAGGGATTGCATTGAATTACAGCAGCGGGAGCAAACGCTTGCCTCGGGGAGGGAGAAAAAGAGCCACAGCGGAGAATAAACAGAAGGGCAACCATGGCAACCATGTGCGGGAAGTCTTCTTCGCTGCTTTTTGGTAGACTACAGCACCACTTACAGGCCTGGCATATGTACTACAGCGTCTCCAGCGCTTTCGAGCGGCAATGGCCGGCCGTGGCCCAACCCCACATTCCCCTGATAGGTGGAGAGTTGGCCATATAGGCGGAGCTCCCCGTTTCTGACGTAAGAGACATTTCAAATCTGGATCAGTCTGTATCAGATCCGTTGCAGCCCCATTTTTAGAGATTTGGGTATGGAGGAAAATAGAGAGGGTTGTGTTTTCTGACACTTGGTGAGTTCCCTGACACACCGGGGACACATATTCATGTATAAAAGACGTACAAAAGTGCATTTTGCATGATAGGTCCCCTTTAACTTTCCCGTGAGTGCACCGGGCTTCAGAAAAAAGATCAAAAAACCTGCCAGACCTGGAACATTCCAAATGCTCCTTTTCATCATCATATATTAATCTGACTCCAACAGATTTCACGTGAGAAAGGTCATCAGTGTCCACAGAACAGTAGGTGGCTGGAAAAGTAAACAATACATTTATTTATACAGCCAAATTCTCGGAATGTTAGAGTGACTTGTTTTTACCTTTGCAGGTGGGTGCTTCGGACCACGTGGCATCGATGTAACATCCCACCATCTTCGGACCCACTCGTTCCTAATGATCAGCGCATTGGTACTGCAAAAAACTTCGTTTTTCACGACGTCACCGTTAGCAACCATGGGGGGAGTTCCACAGTTGTCGACTGAAATACAAAAAATGTAATTGTTTTTTCAGAAATCATTATTTCAAGATGCCATCGCAGAGTAAATCATATCAAATGTAAAACCTTCTTTGTCATTTAGTGGGAATACTGTTAACAGCATTCCAACTATCTGTTCTTCTACGCACAAAATTATTTATTATTCCGCCTGTTATTTTGGCCCTCTTCTTCTCCTACATTGAACATCGCAGAGACTCCGTTCAAACATCAAAACGTTCAGCTCGGTCGGGAATCGATGGCTATTACTTTTATCATTCATAACTTTCATAATTCCAGAGATACATCCCATAATTCATCACATTTTTAACATGGAAGTCAATGGAGAAATTCTTCAGACNACACACAACAAGTACAACACATACCTCAACACACACACACACACACACACACACACACACACACACACACACACACACACACACACACACACACACACACACACACACACTCAGGACCATTTCAGTCCTGCCAAATGTGAAAGTTATCATCATTTGGCTCTGCTGTCAAAATACATTCAATTTGTGTTCCTTACATTACATACACACAGAAACATTCTGTAGATCTGTAATGCGCTATCGAGTCTGTTGCCTTTACAGAATCTAATAAAAAATATACTGTATATCCATTTATACAAATTAGATTGTTGTTGTCATTGTATTAGCCCCCTACTCATATTATATACTGTAGGGTTTGTTTTGTTTTGACTTCCCTTTTGGCTAAGGCAGTAGAAGAACATGAAAAAAAGGAAGCAGACAAGGACAGAGTTTTTTATAAAAAGAGACATCATCCATGTCACTGATCAAAGAAAGAGTTCTCTGATCCAGTCTGTTTCCCAGATTGCAGTTGGGATATCTCAGTGTTATCTGTGTGCTTTGTAAGGGTGGATGAAGATGAATGGGGCCAGGGCCGGCCCTCTCCACTGCCTCTATTGATTTCTGTATGTCAATCCTCAGGCCGTCATATACACACACTTGAGCTGCAAGACACACACACTGCAGGGGATTGTGTCTCATGGTCAATAAAGTTTGGATTAAATGAACTCTGCAGTCAGCAAATGAGACATGAAGGTCACCAAAGCTTGTTAAGATCTGACCGTTTTATTTTCCAAGAGACACATGGCATTCAATTTCATTTTATGTTATTGTAATGGCGGATTCTTTCATTCAAAGAGAGTTACATACACTTCAATACCGAAGTCATGCCTACTGAAGCAATTTGGGCTTAAGTAGCTCTGCAAAGGACACTTCAAAATGTTGACTATATGAACTGGAAATTGAAAAACTGGGCTCCCACAAATCTAATTTTTTTTCAAAGATTCTAAAACCCTTCCTCAAAGCTTAACCTTGTGGTATGTTTTCAATTTAGCAAGTTTCAATCATATACAAGTTATTTTTAAACTTAAAAAACAAACCAGTAGCTGCATGTATCAGAAAAATACATTTGCTCATTCTAAAGAATTGTCTGCCAATGA